ATATAATACCAAGCACTTTGTTTTTTCTCGAGATCAAAAATTGTCACAAGCATGACTTTAGGGTTCAGTCACCCTTCAATATCTTTCTCCCTGAATCAGTTCTCATTTTGTGGATGAGAAAATTGACTTGGCCAAGATACAGTGATTATAGATAGGTCAAAGTCAGATGTCCTGTTGATGACAGCCTCCCACATGGCAGGCATGGTGGAGTAGGAGGGACAGTATTAAAATATTTCCCTAATATCAGTCATTTCCCTATGATTAGCATTATGAACTGAAAAGCTGCAGTTTGGGACCAAATGTCTCGGAAAGTCAGGGTGGATACGGGGTAAGTGGGCATCATTAAAGGCAGTGAAGTCTGGAGGCCATATCTCCAGAAAAGGTCCCTGTCCCATCCTAGTGGGCTCTCTGCCTGCCTGCCAGCCTAGGGGAGCAGTGCAGGCTGACCCTGACCAGGTAAGAACCCCATTTCTGTTTTCCTTGGGACTTAGTCAATTCAGGTTGGTGTGGCATAAGAGAGCATGGCATACATGTGTTTATACATGTGTGTTGGAGTGTGCAGAGAGGCATAACGAGGAACTAAGGTGACTGCTCTCTGGATGTGCCCGTTGTCATGTTACCTGACTGTGTGTATCTCAGGTGTCCTCTCCCAGCCTGTTTTGCATGCTTCTCTCTCACTATCTTATCCTCTCCATGCCCCCATCCATTTCTTCTTCTGAAAGCTATTTTATCTCCAAAGTTCCAGTCTCATTCAAAATTGAAGTGACAGTCCACACTGCTATCTGTGATCAGTTTTGGGAAGAAGGAAGAGGGTCAGAGGCAAAGAGGCCTGGGCACCACGTGTAAATAGGAGTCAGTCAGGAAGCCTGGGTGCTGTCCTGGCCCTGACAATGACTGACTTCTCACAGGCCCTTGTGCAGGACCAGTCATAGTGAGTGAATGAACCAAATCCTTTGGAAATGGCCTAGATCCTTTTAGCAAGTAATGCCCCCTTCTTCTCCTCTTAGGCATTCTAACCTGACAGGGTGTTTTTTTCTTGCTTCCATGTAACCATCTGGCATTTAGTCAATACCTTCCATGTGTTCGGGCACACGTTAGGGACCAGGGACAAAGATAAGGAGCAGGAAGCTCTCTGTGAAGTATTAGATATTGACAACTGAGTGTGATAAGTGCTCTGGCAGGAGCGAGCCCAGGGTACTCTAACCCAGGTCAGGAGGACTGTGGAAGGTATTGGGGAAGGCTTCCCTGAGGAGGAGAAATTGGTATGTGTGTGTGGAGTGAAGCAGGGTGTTTCAGGCTGAAGGAAAGCCTGGGTAAAGGCAAGGAGCCATGAATCCTTATGGCAGTCGAGGGAACTGGAGGCAATTCCATGTGGAGGGCACACAGGATAGGCTGCTGGGGTGGTGAGAGCTGAGGCAGGAGGGACCATGCACTGTGTAAAGGAGTTTGTGTTTTAACCCCAGGACTTGTGCTTCTCAAAACTGACTGGGCCTCAGCCTCACCTGGACAATACATTAGAAAGCAGACTCCTGGGCCTTACTCCAACCTAAGGAATCACAATCGCCTTGGGTGAGGCCAGTGTCCCAGGAGACTCTCTACACAGGCACCGGTCAAATCAGGCCTTGGGAAGTCGTGGGAGGGCTCTAAGCAGGGGGGTAGGCAGGTGCATGGGAGACAGCCCCAACACTCTCTTGGGTCTATACTGAAAAGAAATCGTGAAGCCTGAGTACAGACCCAGGACAGAGAGCAGTGTCCCCATCGGGCGCTCCTCAGACCACAGGCCCATGACCAAGACAGGAGCCACCAGAAAATTCAGGTTTCCAGTTGGACAGGCTCCATCAGGCAGGACAGCAGGGGGATGGCAGAGATGTCTCTCCCATCCCACTCCCCCCCACACACACCTGACTCTAACAGTGTGACCTTGAAGGACTGTTTCTCACCTATGCCTTCATCCTAAGTGGAACCCAGTTTCCACATTCCACATGGCTCTTCATTCAGGCTGAGTGTTGAGAGCATGAGGAAGAGTGAGGCTTGATGTTTTATCCAGGCTGAGTGGAAGGTGCGCTTCCCTAGTTGTTCAAATGGAGGAAGAGGGCTATGTGATTGCTACTTACCATGTATTTGTGTTCTTCCTAGATTTCTCTCCAAAAGATGGTAATGAAATGCAAGAGTCTGATACATAAGGATATAAGGTAGTTCCCCAGCCCAGAAACATGCTATGCTGAAGGGGGTAGGCCCAGGGTAGACCACCTTTGAGAGATTTCCACTTCACAGGATGGAGTGTAAATTCCTCACCTAGCCCCAGAGGCCCTAACCCAGGCCACACCACCCTACGCTGCAGCTTCAGCTCTCCTGTGGCCTTTCCCAGTTTCACTTTTATGCTTAGTAATACTGAAACCAGGCAGTTTCACACCTCAATGCCTGTGTTTATGCTAATCTCTCCACCTGAAATGCCTTCCACCCACCCTCTGTCTGGCTAATTCCTGCTGATTCTGTAAGACCTAGCTCTCTGTGATATCCCCTCCCACCCTACACACACCTCAGTGCGTTCCTGTGAACCGACCAACTCCACTACCCTATGCTACCCTCAATGGGAGCGCTTATACAAAAAGTTTACGGCCTGCCCCTTCCATGCCCCACTTGAACAGAAACGTCTCAAGGACAGGCTTGATGGTATTACATTTTGTCTCCCCAGTGCCCGGCACATAGTAGGAGCTCAACAGATATTTACTGAACCAAACAGAATCCAAATGAATGAGAAGTACCTCAGATTCACATGTCTTGGTAACTTGATCACATTCAGAGGATTTGCTTATTGGTGCTTTTAAATACGTGATCTTTTAAAGCCTCTGTATAGATGTGACTCTCTGTTCCCCTATCTTAAGTGTAAAATACATTTAATAAGTAAACTGTAGGTGTTTATTTGCATCTCAAAAGGTTGGGGGGCAGGTTTCTTTTAAACATTAAGCCTCTGCTGGAACTTTCAGAAACTTGCCTTAGAGATCATTAACTTCTGGGGGAGGGGTGGGGACAGGTGTCATGGAGAAGTTACCTCTAAGAGTTTGAGTCCTGAGATGCCTCTGAAAAGGGAAGCAAGGAAGATCTTGGAGCTGGACAGGATTAGTTCAGCTTCTTCTCTGCTTGCTGTGTGGCCCTGAGCAAGCCCCTTAATCTCTCTGTACCCTGTTTTTTTTATTACTAAAATGGGGGGACCCTATGCCCACTTTGCAGGGTTGTTGTAAAGATCCTATAAGGAGTACCTGAGTTCGTAGGCGGTCCTGATAATAATAATGGTATTGTTGTTGTTAGGTTTGACATGGCATTTGGAGGAGAGGAATGATTTCACCTTGAATGGCAGGATTAAGGAAGGCAGAAAGGATCCAGAAAGAAAAGGCCAGACCATTACGGCTGGGCTGCATATTTTGACTATTATAGCACTTCCGAAATTTTTTTTATTTTTTTTAAAAACTAAAGCTTTGCATGCTGAATATGCAGAATACTGGCAGCTCCTACAGTGTGTTTGATGTGAGGGCCTCGTACTCCAGAAGGCTTGCCACTTACTAGCTCTGTGACCTGGGACAGATCACCTAAGGTCACAGAGCTAGTAACTCAGTTTCCCCATCTGCAGAAAGGAGATAATACACAGTACCCATCTTTTAAGGTTGCCATACGAGCTAAGGAAAGCAGTGTGCTTAGCCCAATGCAGGTGCACAGTATGCCGTCATCGATGGTACTCTGTCATGAGGTGATCAGCACTAAAGAACAGTGTGGCCTGTTGGAGAAACCACTGGCTCTAGGAAAATGCAGAGGGAAGGGAGCTAATGCTAGAGCACTGGGCCCGGACGCTGGAAACTGCCTGTCACGAGAGCTGTGGGGCCTTGGGCCTGTTCTGTAACAAGGAGAGGTTGCCCGGGTTCCTAAATTAGCTCAAGGCTATTCTACCACAGCTCCCCAGACAGCTGCTCTCAGGACTGGGTGCTTTGGCTCTGCCCACCTGCCCCACCTTCTACAGGGGAATTCCTCACTAAAGAGGCCTCCTCTGGAAACGACCTTGGCCTCTCTCCGCCACCACCGCACCCTCACTGTGTGGTCCTTGTTGTTGCTATGCCTGTCATCTAGATGGTGACTGTAGAACACATGTGCAAATAGAAGAGCTTCACATGCTTCAGAGAGAGCTTGCTGGCTGCAGGGAAGATGAATGGCACTTGCCCTTTGTAGAGATTCCCAGACTCTCCCGGGTTCTGACTCTCTTGTTTCCCATCGTTGGTGAAAAAATGGGTTTGGAAATAGGCAAGGCTCCGCACCTCTCTCCGGGTAGCAAGAGAGAAAGCTCCGGTTGGCTTGGGCCACAGATGCAGGTGAAGCCCTTTACTGCTACTTCCAGGTCTGGAAAAAGTGACAAGGTGTCTTCAGGGGAAACCTACCCAGGCGCCGACCCCAGGGGGCTGGCAAGGCAGGCACCAGGCTCTCCCTTTGGCAAGACAGGATGGGGGAACCCACCTCTACTCTGGTTACCCTCCCGCCTCTGCAAAACAGAAACTAATGACCTTGACCTCGAAGCAAATGGTGCCCCAGGCTGATGGGGACGTCAGGGACATCCTGTGGAAGAGGGCTCCGAACTCCTCTGGAAAGGCTGTCTAAACAAAGGGCATTCCGTAGCTTCCACCCGGATAGCGGAGCCTCACTCCCAGCCTGGGGTGTAGAGTTACAGGCATTCCCACGAAGCTGGGGAAGACGTGCTGTTTTCTTAGCTTTTGCTCCCGTTGAGCCTCATCCCACAGCTGCGCTGCCACAGCCGACCCAGGGTCCGCCACGGGCCACGAGGGGTCAGTCGGGCTAAGCACCCCGCGTCCCTGGGTCCCTACAGGGCTCAGGCGTGTTCCCGAACTCAGCCCGGGCCTCGCCTGCCCTCCCGCCCCGCTGACGTCTGCAAGGCGCTCGCTCACTGG